TGACTATTGGGCCATTTAAAGACGTTCTATTGTTAACTATCGATGACTCACTTGAAGCGGCTATCGCGCATGGCCGCCAGCTCCATGACGTCATAGAGAGTCGCTGCGTTCTCCGCCATGATCCACTGCGACACGCTCAGGTTGCCTGACACCTGCCGGAAAAAAAATACAGTATACCAAAATAAATAAATAAAATTAAATATAAATAAAAATATATATATATATACCGGAGCGAAGAAATATATACTATGGGTATAACTATCACCCACTAGAGAAGCACAGAAATATACTAGAAGATACACCTATCGTGTGCGCAGGAGAAATATTTCAGCTGTCAACACATGTCGTATTGCGTGTCACAGTAAGAGAGGGATAGAAACAGAGAGTGGGGAGAGAGAGTAGGCAGAGAGAGAGAGAGAGAGAGAGAGAGAGAGAGAGAGAGAAGAAGAGAGAGAGAGAGAGAGAGAGAGAGAGAGAGAGAGAAAGCGAGCTAAACAGAACAAAGATCGAGCGGGAGCGAGAGAGGAGGAGATGAGAGAGAGAGAGAGAGAGAGAGAGAGAGAGAGAGAGAGAGAGAGAGAGAGTGCGGAGAAAGAGAGAGAGAGAGAGCGACTGACAGACAGAGAGAGCGGGAGCGAGAGAGGGAGAGAGAGAGAGAAGAGAGAGAGAGACGAGAGAGAGAGAGATAAGAGATAAGAAAGAGAGAGAGAGAGAGCAGATGAGAGAGAGAGAGAGAGAGAAAGAAGAAGAAGAGAGAGAGAGAGAGAGAGCGCCCACGACGATTCTCTCACCCATACATTATCAACAGAGCTCATGCTGACCGTTCTCATTCCCCTCCGTTCTGTCTGTTAGTAGTCGGTTGGACCGCGTAAGGTGCGCCAGCAGCACGAGAGGGCATCGGCGTCAACGTAGTGTTCTGTAAAAACACGTGTCTCGTCCATATTAACATATATAGCTCCATTCTTGTTTTATTAATTTGATTAAATTAAGTTGCTAACGAAATTAAGCCACGCTTTGGCGGCACAGCGACTGACACAGCACATATACGCACACAGCACACACACACACACACACACAGCACACACACACACAGCACACACACACACACACAGCACACACCACACCACCCACACACACCACAACACGAAACACATATACTACGCAGCACAGCCATCACATATATACGTCAGCACACGCAAGGCAAGCACAGCCACACAGCTCACACCACAGCACACCCACACACAGGTACACACACACACACACACACAGCACACAACTCGGGGAATTTGCAGCGGGCGAGACGAGCGGGCAATGAGCGCTGAGGCAGCGCGAGGACATGCGAGCGTAGCGAGCGGAGTCTGTCAGCAGGCTCGCTGCGTCTCTAACGAGACTGCTTCCGTGTAGGGCCGGAGTGCAGCCAGCGTCGTCGCCAGGCTGCCGAACGACCCGTCATCCCCCTGGTGGCCGAGGAGTCTGAAGTATGCTGATGAACAGTTCCAAGTGTGTGGATGCGTCATCACCAGCAGCTTGCCAACGCCTGCGCACGCGGGAAACCATGGGGTTATATGCAATATATATAGGAAATATAGGATTATATATATATATATATATACATATATATATATATATATAGGAAACATTGGATTATAAAAAGAAAATATAGGATTATATTATATATATATATAGGAATGTGGGATTATGTGTAAGAAATATAGAATTATATATATATAGGAAATATGGGATTATGTATAAGAAATATGGGATAATTTATAGTAAATATGAGTTTATATATTGAAAATATGATATTATATATAAAAAAATATAGATAATCAATAATATAATCTCAAATAATCTAACCTAAATCTCATCTACTCTCTAATCCGCCCCTCATCCTCACCTGCATTGCTGCAGCGGTGGCGCGCGCGTCGCCGAATCCTCCGTCCATCTGCTGTGAGTTACAGAGGAACTTTGCGGGGCGGCGGATCAGGAAGCGAGCTCTGTCGGCATCCCTGTCGGCGCTCCTAGCCGCACAGCTCAGCGCCATGACGGCAGCGGCCGCCTCGACTGTCAACACAGACGTGCATGGTTGACACAGAAGTTGACACAGAGGTTGACACAGAGGTTGACACAGAGATTGACACGGAGGTTGACACAGGAGTTGACACAGAGGCTAACACAAAGAATGACACAGATGTTGACACAATAGTTGACACGGAAGTTGACACAGAAGTTGACACAGGAGTTGATACAGAGGTTGACACAGGAGTTGATACAGCTGACAGAACGTATGATATATATATATATATATATATATATATATATATATATTATAGATAATATCAACAGATATATAGATAGGTAGATAGATAGTATACAGATAGATATGTTAGTAACATATGTATGTACTCACACACGCTTCCCTCCGTGAAAGATCCGCCCCGCGCCAGCACCTGCACCTCTTCATGACTGACGCTAGCTCCAGCGTTACATAGTGCTAACAGCCCGGCGCTATACTGAAACCATCGCATATGACACATATAGAGAGAGAGATCTGACCCTCCCCTCCTCTCCTCCTTGCTTGCCTTCCTCTACCTCCGCCTTCCTCTCCTCCTCCTTCCCCCCGCCTCGCCGGCATCTGCAGCTCTTCATACTGTGATACACTAGCTCATCGTTTATATAAGTCTAACAGCCCGACAAGCGCGTATACTGAACCATCCGCATTATGGAACGATATTAGAGGACGAGAAGAGAGATCTGACCCTCCTCCTCCTCCTCCTCCTCCTCCTCCTCCTCCTCCTCCTCCCTCTTCCGCCCGCGCCCACAGCACGCTGCACCTCTTATGACTGGAGCGCTAGCTCCAGCGTTACATAGTGCTACACAGGCCCGCGCGTTATCACCTGAAAACACATCGCATATGACACGATATAGAAGAGGAGAGAGGTCTGAACCCTCCTCCTCCTCCTGACTCTTGCCTCTGCCTCTCCTGCCTCCTCTCTCCTCCGCCTCCTGCCCATTCTCCTCCTTCCTTCCCAGCGCGGCACGCACTGCCACTCTTATGAGGACACTAGCTCCAGCCGTGTTCACATCAGTAGCTACAGCCCAGCGCTCACTGCTCCGAAACGCCGATCGCATATGCAGATAGTAGAGAGCAGAGGAGTATGACCCTTCCTGCCTATCACTTCCCCTCCTCCTCTCTCCTCCTCCTGTGCTCCTCTCACTCTTCCTCCTCCTCCTCTTCCTCCTCCTCCTTCTCTCCGCGCCAGCAACTGCACATCTGTCATGACTGAACGCTGACGCCGGCGTATACAATAGTGCCTAACCAGCCCCGGCGCTATACGAAACCATCCGCATATGACACGACTATATAGCTAGATGAGACTCTGACCCTCCTCCTCTGCCTCCTTCCCCTGCCTCCTCCTCCTCCTCCTCTTCCTCTCCTTCCCCCGCGCAGCACGCTGCACTTTCAGATGAACCTGACACTAGCTCCAGCGTTACATAGTGCTAACAGCCCAGCGCTCATGCCGCGAAGACCATCGCATATGAACATCTAGAGAGAGAATCTGCCCTCCCTCCCTCCCCTCCTCCTCTCTTCCCTCCTCAGTCCTCTCTCTTCTTTTCTCTTCTCTTTTTTCTCACTTCTACCGCCCCCATTCTCCTCCTCATTTCCTCTGTCCATCTCCTCCCACCACCTCGTTCCTTCACTTGGCCACCTCCTGGCCCCCGTCCCATTCTCTTCCACTCCCCTCCTATCGCTCCTCCGCTCTCACTCCTCTCTTCGCATTTTTCTCCCTCCTCATCTTCCTCTGGACTCTCTCTTCTCTCCGTCATACGCCTCTCTCACACCTACTCTCCTCTCATCGTCCTTTTCCTCCTTCTCATGCCTCATCTCCTCCTCATCCTCCTTCTCATTCCTCCATTCCTTCTCTTTCTCCCACTCTCCTCTTCCACCTCTCCACAACACCTCCTGCCTCTCTCCCTCCTCTACCTCCCTACCTGTGCGTAAGCTTACTGACCGGCCAGCACTGGTGGAAACCCTGCATCCTGGAGGCACGCAGCCATGGCTAGACCAGGTCGTAACCGTAAAACTGGCTCGCGTCCGTCAGCAGACGAACGAGGCGAAGCCAGCCGGTGATCGAATCATCGCAAGCGGCTGGTTCGGCTGCCACGCTCGCCGAGTCCTCTCACTGAGTCCGCGAGGATGAATAATGACCAAATGCATGATGGATGCATGTTAGTTGAGTGAACTGACATCGCTGGATGATGATGTGATCTGATGGATTGGTGGATACATGGTGATGGATGTTGTCCGCTTTAAATGATGATGAGTATAAACTAAAATATAATATAATTTTTATTATTATTAATTATTCAAGAATATAAGAGAAGAAGAAAACCCCTAATATATAAACAATGTGAAGTTGTTGTCTATAACATATCTTGGCCGCGGATCAATGAATAATAATAATCATAAATAACTAAGCCTTCATTATTATTATTTTTGCATTATTATTATTCATAGTAATCACTCTCATTTTGCTTGCAGCGCTTTTTTTGCTTGTGGCCCCCTAGTTCGATCCCAACTCACCGATCCTGAATTATTCCGTTAACCACGCCACTTTACACGACCATTTCGGCCATCTACCACCTCTACATACAACCAACCTCTCCGCCCACCCTTCCCTTCGCCTAACACCTCTGTCATCAAAGTTCCGCCTTGCTACCACTTCTCTTCACCACCCTTCTCTTTAGCTACACTTCTCGTCCGTTTCCACGCACCCTCCCCACTTCCTCTGCTACCACCTCCTCATGTTTCCCCCATCATCCGTTCCCCACCGCTGCCCTGATGTCTACCACTTCTCTCCATCCAGCCTCATCCTTCGCCCACCCTTCCCTTGCTACCACTGTCTCTCTCCACCCACCCTCCACTGCTCTTCCTTGGTCTACCACCTCCTCCGATCGCACGACTCGCATCCTCTGCCCACCCCTTTCCACTTTGCTCACCTCTCCACTCCACTCTCTCCCCCTCCCCCACCGTTCCTCTGCTCCACACCTGCTGCCATCCACCTTATCCCTTCCCACTCCTTGCCGTACAGCTCTCCGATCGCAAACCTATCCCTTCACGCCACCCTCTCGCCTTGCTACACTCTACATCACCCACCCCGTCCCCACCCTCCGGGCTTGCATACCACCTCTCCGATCACTATCCTTCCCGCACCTTTCCTTGTGCTACCACCTTCTCATCCACTCTGCCCTCCGCACCCTTCCCTTGCTACACTTATCCATTCCACCTTATCCCTTCTCCACCCTGTCCTGTGCTACCCACTTCTCCATGGCGCCGACCCCCATCCAGTTCCCAACTCTTCCCTTGCTACCGACCTCTGCCATCCCATCATCCCTTCCTCCACCCTTCCTTTCGCCTACCAGCCTCCTCCATCGACACCTATATCCTGCCCCCTGTCCCTTAGCTACCACTTCTCCTTCGCACCCACTCCCTTCGCCACCTGCTCCCTTGCTACACTCTCCATCGCAACTCTCGCCTCCCACCCTTCCTCTGTACACCATCCTGCCATCCAGCCCTATCCTTCCGCCACCTTCCTTGGCTACGACCTCTCATGTCCTCACTATCCGTCCCCACCCTTTCCTTGCTCATTCTCCATCCACTCGTCAATCCCCCACCTCTCCCTTTTCGTACACCTGCTCCCTTCACCCATCCCACGCTATCTTCCCCCACCTTTCCTTGCTACCACTTCTCATCACTCTCCCCTTACGCACCCTTCCCTGCTACAACCTTCTCCACTCACCCTATCCCTTCCCCCACCTTCCCTTGCTTACTCACCTGCTCTCCAATCCACTCTCCCTCCCCACCGTTCCCTTGGCTACACCCTTCCTCCACTCGTCCCTCCCCACCCTTCCCTTGCTACACCTCGTCCCATCCACCCATCCCTTCCCCAACTCTCTTCCCTTGCTACCACCTCTCCATCCACTCTCCCCTCCCCCACCCTTCCCTTGCTACCACCTCTCCATCCACCCACCCCTCCCCCGAACCCTTCCTTGCCTGAACCAGCCTCTATATCGCACCCATCCCTTCCCACCCTGTCCTTGCTACCACCTCTCCATCCCTCTCCCCTTACACTGCCCACCCTTTCCTTGCTTACCACCTCCTATCCACCCCCCGCCCTGCCCCCCCGCACCCTCCCCTCTTCACCTCGGCCAGCTCGGAACCGCGATGAAACTGCGATGTTCATCTGTTTCACGCTCAGCATGCCCTCTGGTGGACGTGTAGTTGAACAGGGTGCGATCGGTTGCAAGTAGCGCCTGTAAGACTTCGTCTGTCATCTTGCTCCAACCAAAGTCGTCCTGACGTTGTCTGTACACCCAGCGTGACGTCAGTCGATAGTAATCGTACGCGTGTAATAATGGCATTAATTAAGGAGCTAGCACTAATTCAATTAATAATTAAACTGAATTAGCTCATTATTACGCCGCGGTTAATTTTCCACAAAAATCCCATTATTGGCGAGAGAAACGCAGTGC